TGTAACAATGATACTTGGCTACAAAAAATGACATATCAAGAGTAAAGTTGTCTTTATGAACATAAAGTTATGAACATCAACAGGACATCAACAAGATGTCATGTCAAAATCTGACATCAACGAGAATTTCTACAGAAAAAGTTGCCAAAATTTGTATGAAATTGGCACTTGATGGTGTTAAAATTTCAACACCCAGATAATTCAGAGTTTTCAAGTCAGTTTTCGAGGAAGCTTCTAAACTGTTGAAGAATGATGAAAAACTTAAATAGTGAACAGTAATACCTACATTTTGATTGAAAGCGTATTAACATAAATTAATACAGGTTGCAGTATTGAAAAACAAAAGAACGGAGGTGAAATTAACTGCACTTTACTTGAAAGATAAAAAAGTATAAACTATTACTGATAGAATTTTGACAATTCTTGAAGAATATAACTTATGGAGTGCTGTAAAGAAGATAATAACTTATGGAGTGACTGACACAATCAGTGTTAACACTGGTAAAAAGAATGGTGTTGTTTTAAGACTTAAATAAATATTTTCAGCAACAGGGCTTGACAACTGTTGTTAATTTCTTGTCAGCATCATATGCTAAATAAGATTTTTCTTGTGGTCATGGATGAGAAAATTGGAGGAAGCACTAAGTCTCCAAATATTGAGTATACTTTTGTACCTCAGTTAAGGAACATTAGGGTGTAACAAAAAAAAAATATTACCTTGTAATTTGTTGTTATTCTCTAAACTCATTCCAAATGGGCTAAAATTACCAAAAAAAACATTTTTGTTGAGTAACAGTTATGAGGAAATGCAAGCAAAACTTGTGATTGGAACAGAAGTGAATATCTATAAGTCAGGCTGGAGAGATAACATGAAACTCTTGCCTTATACAACTTTTGTATTTAAATCCTGTTAAGAAAAAGGATATTAACCACTTTTCAAGAGCCATTCTTGTAATTCTTGCTTTTGTTTTTATATCTAAAACAATGTGACATTACAGAAAACCTAAAGATTTTTTTTCTAAGACTGAGCAAAGTATTGATTTGCTGAACAAATTTACAACAAATAAGACTACAGTAACTTGTCAAAAATACAGAAATCTATAAGAAGAGGTTTCAGGTTTAGAGAAAAACAGGACACAGAAACCATTAGCACTTAAGATACCAAGAAGCAACTAGTGAACGAAACATGCAATAAAAGTGATGCAGGAGGAGCTGTATTCAGTCTGCAGAAAAAAAGACAAATTGCTGTCTAGATTTTTTTAAAGTATTAAACAGTGATGTACTAATAAATATTAATCATAAATATAGAGAATACTAAGCAAATGCTATGCTATAGTATCCATAATAGTTGGCTACTAGACATGTAACATTAATTAATGTACATTGTTAAGTTATAACACACAATTTGATATTTTGATTTGGAAGTAAACTATTTTTAAAAGAAATTGAAAAAATTTCCAACCATTGTGTACCACCCATCACAAAAAAAGTACTATGAATAAAAGAGTTTGTTTACATATTATGTAGTATGTTATTTTGCCAGATGCAAATGAATCAACCAATCAACAAATATCCTTTATTTGCATTTATTAAAAAACATTGAAATAACATTCATCATAATGTTCTTATAAGCTTAGTTGATTCAATGCTTCATTGTTGTGACGCTGTTTTAAAAACAAAGAGATAAGCCACCAAGTACTGTCTTAATAAAAGTTATTGAAAAGTTTGTAATAAATTGTTAAATTTTTATTAACTTAAGTTGTTTCTTAACTTATGTACTTAATAAACTATATAATTATAAATAACATTTTGAAAATGTTGAAACTTTTACTAAACACACATACATGCTCATATAAATTACACAAACATATAAACTAAACTAAAAAAAAAAGATTTTTTAAATCATTTAAAACAATTTTGACATTTAATGTCAAAAATTTTTAAATTTTAAAATTCTTTCCCAGGAAACGTGTGTAGTTTTTCGTCTTGTATGTCCTCGAATAAGTATTTTAATTAAGATAACTTGGTCACGACCGTTTGAAAGTTTTATTGTATGCGTTGCTGAAAAAATGTTTTAAAAACAATGAAAGCAAAATTACAAAAGTTTTAAACATTAAAAAGAATGATTTTTCTATATTTTATTTGTTTGTTTCTCTCAAAGAAGAAATTGTCATCTGTTTGTAAAATATATTTGTATAATTTTAATGTAACGAGTACATATCAAGAGTTGAAAATTAAGCTATCGCGATTTGCTAACTCTGGAAAAATATCTGGTCTTCAAAAAATGTTATTACTTTTATAAAGCACTTAATACTTTTAAGGTTCATTCTTTGCTGAAACAACATTAGTAATTCCAAGCATTAATTAAAGAAGAAAAGCATCTAGAATAAAGTGGATATTAAAATATTATTAAAAACTTCAGGAGCTTTTACAAATCACTTTAACAACTTTATAAAAACACACTTTATAAAAAGTGTAGCAACAATAAAAACAATACTAATAGTCTGTAAAACGTGCGTTAATTTTAAAATAAACCAATAAAATAATTTTATTGGTTGATTTTAAAATTAACTTGCATTTTTACAGACCATTAGTAACCTTATATATAATGCTTCAAACTTTTTATACATTACGTTTTTATGAAGTTGTTTGTTATGCTTTATAAAAACGTTACTTAAGTTTTGAATATTATTAGAATATCCACTCTATTTTTCTAGATGCTTTTTTACTTCAATAAAAATTTAAGAAAACTTCTGTTGTTTGAACAAAGAATGAATTATAAAAGTTATAAGTGCGTTATAAAAGTAATAACACTATTACAGTGTTATTACTTTTATAATGCAGTTAGTTACTAGAGTGTTATTACTTTTGCAGTTGTAAATTTATTGTTTTATTTTTTATAATTTTTTTGTTAATAAATATAATTTGATTTGCTCCTTGAAAAGATCACTTTTGAAGATATTTTTCCATTTTTGCATTTTGTGATTGCTTAATTCAACCTTTGTTGAATATAAACTTTAATATTATATTATTATTATTATATTAATGCCATTAATATTATAAAAATATATTTTACAAACACATTGCAATTTATATTCTCGCTTTTCTCTTTTAAAAAAAGTTAAATAAAGAAAAATCATTCTTTTTATTGTAGACTTTTATCAGACTTTTTAATGCAGACTAAAACTGTTTTTATTTTGCTTCGCCTTAACTAATTTGTTGCTGAATGTAACGAAACAAAAATTAAAACAGTTTGCAAATTATTTAAATTATTAATTTATTTCAATCTTTTTCTATTTAAATTTCTTTTTATTTCCTATTTTGTTAGTTTTGTATTTTTTGTTTTTGAAACTTTTTCCACAATGATTATTATATTAAAAAACTTACAAACGACTGTGACCAATTTGTCTAAAACAAACCTGGAAAATATTCTTAATGAACACCTGTATGTTTATCTAAATTAACTTACCAAAAATAGAAAACCAAGGTAAAGATTCATTTGAAGGATTTAGGTTAACAAGAAACTTTAATAAACTATTTTGGCTTTTATTGTTAGTTAATCCACAAATCATTGATAAACAACTTCTTAGCTTTTCATTAGCCATAATTTTTTTACGACTTAAACAATTATATGCATATACAGATACACAAAACTCCATTATTGTCAAATGCGCAAATTGATAATAACAGCCTACATTTGTCTCAACTTTTTCGATAAATCCAAAAAGATTACCATCATTTTGATCAAAGTCGCTGATAAAATATTCAATATCTTTTTTGGAAAATATTATATTATTTTTAATAAACAACTCATAAGCAATTTTACAAATATTTAAAATATATCTTTTATTAAAACTGTCTTCCATTATCTCATATATCAGTTTATCATTTTTCATGATGTGTTTTTGCAAAAAGTATAAAAAAATATTTGCATACAAATCAGTCATAGTTAAGAATGAATTTGTATATATTTTATTTGAATCACTAATAATTTTACACATTGAAGATAAATAAAATGGAACAGATGCCATGGCTTTTGCAATAGGCGAATCCTTTAAAGTTGTTTTTATAACTTCTTTTTTTTCCTCTTTAACATGGTTTTCTATATAATTGTTGATTCCATTTTCATTAAAACCCATTATTTGAATAATTGACTTATCACTATGCTCTGTATATTTACTTTGGGGTAATTCCACATCAAATCACCCACTCCATTGAACCATGTGTCTTCTTTTTGTTTTATATTTTGACACATGATTCCTATTTATAAAAAAATATTGCATTCAAAATTTCAGCTAAAAATGTTAAGCGGTTGACAAGATACAGCAAATTTAATTTGGACCTGGTTTCTCAAAATGACCCGGTTTTCATAACATTCTGAAAAGTTGTTTTCCTCAATAAAATAAGAAATAAAAATGGCAAAAATATAAAAATATACATTTATAATGGTTTTTTAATGCTGAATTCAATAAATGTACTTAAAATGCTGAAATGTTAGAGGAACATCCTTAAAAATTAATAAATCAACTAGTTTATATAATCTAACTTTAGGGCCCAATATCTCAAAACACCCCCGTCAAATTTTTTTTTTTTTTGCTTTCAATATTTTAAGCTAGTTATAATCTTACTAGGCACAAAAAATCTAACTGGAAAAAAAACTGAAACATATAGAACTTTAATTTTAAAGATGTATAACTTTTTTAAGAAATTCTTAAAAAATATTTATAAATTCAATTAAAATAAATTATTCCTAATTTACAAAGTTACTTAAATATACAAGATTTTTAAAGGTATCAAATGTGCAAGTTATTTTGACTGTATTTGTAATAGTTCACAATATTGTTGCCATTTTACTTGCACTTCTTCTATTTCAACATTTTCAAACACATAGTTTCTACCAGAACTAGAGCAAGCTTGTGGAACAGATAGTTTTTTCAATATATTGATGTTAGGAATAAAACAGTGGTCGTCTCTTTCAGGCCAGTTAAAATAGATTGATGGACCTCTTGGGTGGAGAAACTTAACTTCAGCATCAACTTCTTCTAGGTTGATTTCAGTTACAATGCCGATCCACCACTTATCATCATAAACTACCGCAACATAACCTCCTAAAGTGACAGTATCAGGTTCAAATATATGTTTCTTTTTAAGATTGTGAATTATTGTATATTTAGTGTCTGTACTACACCTCTTCGCCCCAACCCTATTATCTCCAAGATGTATAAATTGATGAAAGCTACGAGTACCTGGTAGAGTTGTTACATCAGTGTACCTTTCTTTTTGCTTTTCACGTTGCAATTGTAAGTCCAATCCCTTTATGTAAATGAAGTTAACAGCCTTAATTTTCTCAACACAAAATTCATACATAGCCTCTGATGTGAGAACTTGGTTTCTGTATGGTCGTTTTAAACTTTCTTGTGCTGTTAACCTTTTTACAGTACCACCAATTCCATCGCATGGTGACTTTCCGTGGGACGTGGCAAAAAAGTTCCATTCAATTTTGAGGGAAAATTCTGTCTCTAGTTGGCATAGATTGTAAAAGCTTTTACAATTTTTGTACTGTCCTGCACAACCATCAGTGAATAAATGCAATTTGGATAAATCAAGAAATTTTGTTTTTAATATTGGTATAATTAGTTGAAATATCTTGTATACATAAGTTACATCGTGTATAATGTCGTCTGATATAAAACAGTAAGAAATATGTTTCACTACACCATTTTCTTCTTTATAGTATATCACTAATGGATGTAAAGAACATTGTTGGGTGTTCCAGTGATAGCTCTGTATTTCATCTTGGACTACAAAAGCATAATTTTCAGCAAAGTCGCCAAGAATGATAATGTTTGATTGATCCATATTTTCTTTTAGTTGATTAAGGTATTGTGATTGAGATTTGGCAATATAAGAATGAGATTGTAGCTTTTCAAAACAAGATACCAATAGTTCAATAAACGTTGGAACATCTGTTGTTATACTCAATAGTGTTGCACGATCAGTAGTTTGCCATTGTTTGTATTGTATCTCAAAATCATCTTCGTATTCTCCAAAAATCTCATACAAATACATGGTGAGCAGTTCTTTACCAGGACAATTATCACACTGTGCAAGCATGCATTCTTTGTTTTCTACTGAGCAAACAGTTTTCAAAAGTAAATCCTTATACGTTAGTTCAATATTTAAGGCATCCACTAGCAAAATGGCATTTTGGTGATAAGAACAAACACAAACAGAATGTGTACCACTTGCACCTGGCAAAATGCACCACTTTGGTCTAAGTGAAGCATATTTTGAGTAACTTATTTGTATTTCTGGATTGTTTTCTTTGTATAATACATATAGTTCCTTTAAATTACACAAAAGCAGTTTTTTTTGTTTGTGGACGTTCTTTTGAATGCTGACATAATCTTTTTTTCCAGGCATAGTTCGACATAAATCACTTGAGTCATAAAACAATTTAACTGAATCTTCTATTTCTTTATGTAAGACTTTACCCTTATACAATGGAGAGATACCTAACAATCCTTTTTTATTAAAAATTTTTCTAGCCATCTTGGCCTGGTATTCTGTAACCGAAAAATTATTTTGTACTTCTAATATTGACCAACTTGGGGGTGCCAGTGTTAGAAGTTGAACAATAGTTCGTTTGTCAGAACATAGAATTTTTTCTTTTACCAAGCTCATAATTTCATCAAAGTTTGCAGCCTTCTTTTTCATCCCATTGGTTTCATAACATAGTTTTGAGGAAAATTGAGTTTCAATTTTTCTAGTAGCGTTATACGCCATTTCGTTGATGCATGCAACTTTTTGCTTTCCTTCTGACAGTATATGTTTTAATGATTTTGAATGAGATTTTAGAGGAGATAAACTAAAATTTTTGAGTTCTTTATTGATCTCCTGTCTTATTTTTTTGCATGGTGATATTAGAAAATCCTCATCTTGTTCACTCTTACTTTGCTCCTCTTCTGTAAGTTCTTTTTTTCTGGCAATCTTTTGTTTACAAGGTTTGCAAAGTTTCTTCCCAGGAGGAACATTCAAACAATTTCTCATCATGACTTGTGACTCTTTTATTGTAATTACGCCAAGATTTTCTAAAAGTAATTGAATTGTATAAAGTATGTCTGCACATAAGTTCAAAACTTTCGTTTATTTTTTGAAAAACATAAATTAATGAAATATTTAAATTTTACAGCTACATACTTGTGATTTTCTTTGTATGTCTATTGAATGGATCACAACAAGCTTTCTGCCATATAGGATACATTTTCAAATATTTTGTATTATGTCTTTCACAAAATATTTCTAAGTTTGATAATTCAATATTACAGCGTAAAAATATAATTATTTTTTCTTCATTGCTTAAAGTTTCAATAACATCTTGTTGGCCTTCGCAAGCATCTGATGTCATTAACCCAATAGAACACATCTTAATAAGATAAATTATTTAGTATGAAAGTATTTCCTAAAAATAAAAATAAAATTCTTCTACTTAATTGTATGTAAAAAAAGTTTTTTAATAAATATAATTTTTAATAAATGTTGTTCTTAATATTATTATTATTAATATTAATAAATGTTGTAAAAAAAGAAGTTTTTAAATAATTATATTATTTAAATTATTAATTTTTTAAAATTTAAATATAATCTTACCAATAAATGTTGTTCTATATCTGAACTTTTATAAACTAAACTTTTATAAACTAATTTTTAATAAACTTTTACAAACTATAGTTGTCAAAATTAAAAAAAATATCATATTAACATAACAATTATTTTTTATAAAATGTTTTTATATAAAAACAAAACCGGATATTTTTTCAGTTGTTAAGTTCATATAATTAAGTTATCATATAATTAAGACTTCCTTAAATATATAAAAAGTCTATTAACCAAAATTAATTCTTTACAGAATTCTATAATTTGCTACACAAGTACTATCTTTAGGAAGATTTTTAGCAGCTTTTAAGTGATGCCATACCCTTTTAATTTTTTAATTAGTTTGCAATGAAGTGTATTGAATGCTTTTGCAGTAAGAAAAAAGCAATTCGAAGGATACAAAAAAAAAAAGATCTTTCCTACTTAGTTTTCAGTAAAAAAAAAAGCTCTAGTTTTAAATATATTAAATAATGATATAGTATTAGATATTTCCAAATCTTTGGCTGTAGGATAATTGGAGCTTGATAAGAGTTAACAATGATGTCTCAGTGGATTTAATCCTACTTTCTATTTTTTAACTCATCTACAACTTATCACTACTAAGTAACTACTGTTCATACAAAGTAGTTTGATATGTTTTATTGGCTAAATGGTTTAAATGACAGAGATATGGCAATGCCAGGTGTTATTGAAACACTATTCTCCTCCCCTCTAACTGTAATAAAAAAAAGTTGTTTTCACCATGTCTTTTGCAATATGCTTTTTTTTAAGTATTCTTGGTAAATTGAACTAAATTAGAACATCACTAAAAATATTTTGTTGTTCCCTCACCCCTCCCCCTTGTTAGAAAATTGCTATGGGCACCCATAAAAGTGGTGTATCTTGGAAACTATGGTTCTATATGTTTTAGTTGTTTTTCCAGTTAGGTTTTTTGTGCCTAGTAAGATAATAAGTAGCTAAAAATATTAAAAGCAAAAAAAAAAAAATCTAGACGGGGGTGTTTTGAGATATATGACCCCTAAGTTTGAATATATAAATTAGGTGTGTTTTTAATTTTAAAGCATGTTCTGCTCATATTTCAGCATTCTAAGTGCATTTTTTGAATTCTGCATTACAAAAGCATTATAAATGCTAATTTTCATATTTTTATTTTCATTATTTTTCATTTTATTAGAGCAAACGTTTTTTTAAAATGACACAGAAACCAGGTCATTTTGGGAAACCAGGTCTATATTAAAACCTTGATATCTTGTGAACGGCTGAACATTTTTGGCTAAAATTTAGCATGTGAACTTTTCTATATGAAATGCAACAGCTAAAGAAGTTTAAAGAAAATATGAGACCTATGGTTCAAAATCTTGAAAAATTTGGGTGATTTGATGTGGAATTACCCTTTGGTATTGATCAATTGCATAAACTCTACCAGCAATTACATGTTTATATTTTTTAATATCTGTTAAAGTATTAACAACTGGGTAGTTAAAACTTGGATTTAATAATTCATTGAAATATAAAAACTCATCTAATCCGTCAATGATAAACAGTGCAGTATGATTACTAATATTAAAATCGTTTAAAATATCATTGTAGAAAACATTTAATAAATCATTAATATTAGAAATATTTTGATGTTGATTAAGTCTCCTGCATTCTAAATAAAAAACAAGTTCAACATTTTTCCAAATTAAATTATTTGACCAATCAAGTAAACATTTTCTGAGCAACCATGTTTTCCCAATACCAGCTATTCCAGATATTAGTATTACTGATTTTTCTTTCATAAATATTTCACTATATGGAATTGGTGTATAACTCTTTTGCTTTTCAAGAAATTTTTTTCGTTCAACACTGAAAACAAAATCCAATTGAGTATTCACTGCATCAACAATACAAAGATCAACAAAAGTATTTATCAGATCAACATTTGCAGGTGTTTTTAGAAGTGGTTGAACTTCATTTATTTTCCCATAATTTACAAGATAATAGTTTTTCAGTGCTGCGCAAATCTCTGATATATCTAAATATAAATCATATGTCATCATCATCATCATCATCATCATCATCATCATCATCATCATCATCATCATCATCATATCATCATCATCATCATCATCATCATCATCATCATCATAATCATCATCATCATCATTAACATCATCATCATCATCATCATCATCATCATCATCATCATCATCATCATCATCATCATCATCATCATCATCATAAATCATCATCATCATCAACATCATCATCATCAACATCATCATCATCATCATCATTGATATAATATAACTACCTTTCTTGACATAAATTTTGCTAGCAATATCAGGTGTATTTGAAGAATCTAAATAAAAGTTATATAAAAATATTACTTTTGACTTCTCATTTAAGGTTATAGTTAGAAAATTTATGGATGATGATGAAGTGGAAAGTTCTAACGAAGAATCCTAGTTCCGAAAAGAATGGGAGCTTTTATTCCTTCTCATCAGTTCCAAGTCAAGTCTCATTTTACACCATGGTATGATCTTCATGATCATCCTGTTACTGGTAACATGTAACCCAGTGCAACCTGTTCCATGTTCTGCTGCCTTGCAAGATTTGCTTTCTAAGCAAAGGCTAGAAGGAGTGTTCTTCCTGTCATCAGTACTATCTTATATCAGTCATGTCTATAGTAATTTTTTTTTTTTTTTTTTTTCATATAGTTGGAGGTGTCTTAGTTACTGTATTAGCTCACCTGTAATCTATGTTATATGTATGCTTGTGTTCTGTCTGAACCTCTGGCGCGGTGTTCGCTCACCCGTAAGTTACTTTATGTTCTTTATGTATGTCTGTGTTCTGTCTGAACCTCTGGCGCGGTGTTCGCTCACCCGTAAGTTATTTTATGTTTTTTATGTTTTTTTAATTATGTTTGTATTCTGTCTGAACCTCTGGCAGGGTGTTCGCTCACCCGTAAGTTACTTTATGTTTTTTATGTATGTTTGTGTTCTGTCTGAACCTCTGGCGCGGTGTTGACTCGCCCGTAAGTTGATTTATGTTTGTTTGTGTTCTGTTTATACTCTAATGCAGCGTAAGCTCAGTAACTAACTACATACTCCAACTACAAAACCTACACTCAACTTAGACTCCTGTATTTTGTTAGATGCAGTGTTTTTCCTAATGCACTTCCAAAATATCATGCCTGGTTTTCTCAAAGTACTGTTGCTGGAAGTAACTCCTTTTAACAACTCCAGGTCAGGTCAGGATAATCGAGATCAATCTTGCTACTGGTATCACAAAACCCAGTACCACCTGCCACAAGCCCTGTTGCCTTGCAGAGTGTGCTCTTTTTAGGCAAAGGCTAAGAGAAATAAACTCCGACTAAAAATTCCCCTGCCTTGGGGCTCTTGGTTGAGTAAAGGCTAGAGATGGTGTCTTGATAAAAATACTCATCTTGGGCAGATGTTAACTGCATCCAGCTACTGTCTTGTAAAAGGCCTCCTAGGCAAAGACTTTAGGGGTAAGCAGAAAAATTCTGCTAACCAGCCTCGAACCCCTAATTCATCTATTAGGCTGGCGTAGATGTAACCTGAGTTACATTGTTTCCTGCCTAGGATGATGAATGCTGGATCTCCTTGACTCTACTCATAGAATTTTGCTTATGCCTCTTTGATAATGGCTATGCAACTCTTCCTGTTATCTCCATATGAGGGTACAGCTCTGAAACTCAGTTTAATGGTTCTGAGGCCTGCAGGTAGTAATGTTTCCTGAACTCTGTGGTAGCTCTCAGAGAGGCTGATTCCATCAACAGCTGCAAAATATCAGAGTATTAACAGTGCCATGTTGCACATGGATGGTGTCCCTGTTAATGCTTTTGGTGTGCATTGTCAAGGCCACATAAGAAGCCCTTTGTCACGGCTTAGGGTTAATTAACAGGACTGAGACAACTGTTTAGCTCATTGATTAGGAGGCTGTGCTCTATCTATGAATGAGTCAAGTTCTCATTAAACCCAAATCATGACCAAAGTAACCAAAAACTTAAAACCTAAAAAACCATCCCCACCACCTAAATATTTTAATATATCTTATACAAATATTCGCGGTCTACGAAGCAACTTTCCATCAGTTGAGTCTTACCTCCTGCAAAATTCACCAGACTTGCTTGCATTTAGTGAAACAAATTTAAATTCTGCAAATCCTTCTTCAGATGTCAGTGTTGATAGGTACTATCCTTTGATTCAGAATGACTCAAATAGTCACATGCTAGGTTTAGGGGTATACATACGCATTAATTCCCCTATTTGTTGTGAAATCAGGTTCGAATCCTTTGACCATTCTTTTATGTGCTTTCGCCTAGCACCTCTTCACTCTATCACCTTTCTCTTTGTTCTTTATCGTTCTCCTTCTTCCCATGATTGCACTCTCTTAGATGTTATCTCTGATCAAATTGACCATGCCCTCTCTCTTTACCCCTCTGCCAACATTGTTGTTGTTGGTGATTTTAATGCCCATCACACTGAATGGCTTGGCTCTAACACCACTGATCCTGCTGGCACTAAAGCTTTTAACTTCTGCAATTCTCAATCTCTTACTCAGATAGTTAACTTTGTGACTCGTTTTCCTGACAACCCTAATCATTTACTTTCACTCCTTGACTTATGTCTTGTCTCTGACCCTAGCTTATGTTCAGTTTCCCCCTTTTCTCCCTTAGATGGTTTTGACCGTGCAATGATCTCTATAAATCTTTCTTCTCGTACTTCTTTTTTGGGCTCACCTTATCATCGCACCACCTACTACTACCCTAAAGCTGACTGGGATTTTCTTCGTGATGGTCCTTGGGCTGATGTTTTTTCTCTCTCAGCTGATAAATGCGCCTCCTACGTAAACTCCTGGATTCAAGCTGGAATGAAGCTTTTATTCCTTCGCGTCGGTTTCAAGTCACGCTTCATTCTACTCCATGGTTTTCTCCTTCTTATGCGGCTGCTATATCCAATCGTAATCATTTTTTTCATCTTAAATGAAATAGAATTTTCATCTAGAATGTCCATAAGATTCCACTCTTGAATCTTATGGACATTCTCTTCCTTCCATTCCAGTCAAACAAGTTGACCCATTGTTAGACATTCAAATCACTCCCGCTTCTGTTGCAAAAGTCATATCTCAATTAAACTCGTCTACAGCTTGTGGTCCAGACAACATTCCTGTCACAGTCTTGCAGAATTGTTCTCCAGAACTTTCTTCAATTCTCTCTAAACTATTTAACAAGTGTTTGACTGAGTCTTGTTTTCCTGCTTGTTGGAAAATGGCATCTGTGGTTCCAATATTCAAAAACTCTGGAGAAAATTATGACCCCTCTAATTACCGTCCGATCAGTCTTCTTTCTGTTATTAGCAAGGTCTTTGAGTCTTTGATCAACAAATTCCTCACATCTCATCTTGAGTCAAATAAATCACTGTCAGACAATCAATACCGTTTTCGATCCTCTCGCTCTACGGCCGACTTGCTAACTGCTGTAACTGAAAGATTTTATCGTGCATTAGATGGAGGCGGTGAGGCTAGGGCTATTGCTCTCAACATATCTAAAGCTTTTGACAAAGTTTGACATGCTGGTCTTCTCCATAAGCTTGCTTCATATGGTGTTTCTGGGAAAGTTTTTAAGATTATCAAATCATTTCTTTCTGACCGGTATATTAAAGTCATCCTTGAAGGCCAACACTCTTCTTTATTTTCAGTAACTTCTGGGGTTCCCCAAGGTTCCATCCTGGGCCCTGTTTTGTTTTTTATTCACATAAATGATCTTCCTGACAACCTTTCGTCTAAAATAGCTCTTTTTGCTGATGACTCAACTTTATACTCCTGTTTTGACAAAAAGTCTTCTCTTTTTGATCGCCTAGAACAAGCAGCTGATCTTGAATCCGATCTCACATCAGTAATAGATTGGGGTTCACAGTGGCTTGTGAATTTCAACTCTAAAAAAACCCAGTTGCTTACTGCAAACAACTACCGTAATATGGTCAACATTCCTATATTAATGAATTGCAATCTTCTTACTGAGTCCTCCTCTTTACGTCTTCTTGGATTATCGCTTACTACTGACCTTTCATGGAAACCATATATACAATCGATGGCTAAATTAGCTTCTGCTAAGGTTGCTTCTCTTTATCGTACTTGCCATTTTCTTACTTCTGATTCCATTCTCTACCTCTACAAATCTCTTATTCGTCATACTTGGGCTGGTTCTTCTAACGATTCACTTTCTTTTCTTGACAAGGTCCAAAATCGCATTGTAAATGTTGTTGGACCTGGACTATCTGCTAAGCTTGAACCTCTTTCCCATCGTCGTAAAGTTGCATCTCTTTCTCTTTTCTACAAATACTATCATGGTCACTGCTCAAAGGAGTTATCATCTCTAGTTCCATCAACTAAAACTCATTCTCGTTTTACTCGTCATTCAGCTAAGTCTCATTTGTTTACTGTATCTGTCCCTGCATGCTCTAAAAACTTTTATTCATCTAGTTTTTTACCCCGCACTTCAATCCTTTGGAACTCTCTTCCATCTTCATGTTTTCCTAACTCTTACAACCTTCAACTTTTCAAGTCTTCTGTCAACCGTTTCCTTGCTCTATAACTCTGTTCTTTTTTTTCCTAGTAACTCCCAACTTAATAGTGGTTGCTTGCAGCCTTGTTGGGAGTGAATGCAAATAAAAAAAGAAAAAAAAAAAATATTTATCACAAGGCCTGCACATTGATTGATTGGTATATATATATATATATATATATATATATATATATATATATTTATATATTTACTTGATTTTTGATGTCATAAAATTCTTTTTATTTGCTTTTCATATTTATCGACATTAACTGCACCAATTTAGTTAATTACAGCAAAACTACTTGAAATTATATATATATTGTTGTTTTGATTATTTGATAATAATCAACTCTTTTTCGATTTGAGAGTGATCAATATAAAGTGAAATAATCACAAAATAGATCAATAAATAAATAAATAAAAGGTTATATGAGAAAAAAACAACTTTTTTACGGTTTAGCTTAAAAAAGTTGTTTTTTCTCATCTAACCATTTATTTATTTATATATATATATATATATATATATATATATATATATATATATATATATATATATATATATATATATATATATATATATATATTTATATTTATATATATGTATATATACCAATTAATCAATGTGCAGGCCTTGTGATGAATAAATACTGCGCGACGCCTAAGCATGACATGATTTTTGACGTCATAAAATTCTTTTCATTTGCTTTTCATATTTATCGACATTAACTGCACCAATTTAGTTAATTACAGCAAAACTACTTGAAATTATT